ACTCCAATTAAGGTGTAGAAACATCTCAGCAATGATCAAGAGGAGGTACCCAAGCTAAATTTCAAGGGTTGTTTCAAAGGGTCTGAATACTTATGCCAGTTTGATATTTCAGTTTTTCCCTTTTCATTAATTCACAGACATTTCTAAAATTCGGTTTTCATTTTGTCGTTATGGGTTACTGAGTGTAGATTAATGAGATAAAAAATGAAGTTGAACAACTGTAGTATTAGGCTGCAACATAACAAAATTGAAACAAAGTGAAGGGGATCTGAATACTGTATGAATGCACTGTATAGTGTACATTCACATCAGTCTGTGCCCTCAAGGAGCTTACAATCTAAGGTCTCTAACTTACTTTATATTCATACACTAGGGCCAAATTTTTAGACAGGAGCCAATTAACCTACCAGCATGTCTTATCAATCAGTTCCTCTATCCACACTAAACAGCATGGATGGAGGAATCTCTCAAGCCAGCTATTATATTCTGAAATCTGCAGCACCCATAGCTGAATACCCGAATATAGTTTCAGCAGATAATTTTCACCCAGTTTAGCTGATTTTCCATTTGACATTTGTTGATCTGGGTGGTGCTTAATGTGTAAACCCAACTTCAAATATCGTAGATAAATACATAAAGTACAATAGTGCTGTAAATTGACTGAAAGTTAATGTTATCCACAATTCCAAAAATAAGTACTTCAATGAAGATCTTCAAAGTATCAACCAAAGCAACACAATTCACATTCCACACCAGTGCCCAAAGTCCCCTAGGTGATCTCTTGCCAGTGCCTTCTACCAATCCAAGAAACACTCACCAGATTGCAATGACCCTTACGAGAATAAATAGGTCAGCAAGCATTTTCTCAATCCCTTTCAGAGTGTCCAGGTTATCTCTGTAATATTTCTCTCCCCACTGTTTCATGAGCATGCAAATGACAAGGGAAAACTTTCATTACTTATAATGGAACAAATTAAAAATTGGCAGACAGGCAGAAATTTTAATGCAGAAAAGATATACTTTGTCTCTTCTGCATTAAAGTTACTTACCTGCCACCCATGTAAAGTGAGCTGCACACACACAGCTTATTGTACAAGTTCAGCAATGCTGAGCTGACCGAACTCCTGTGTATGTGCAGGAGTTACATCATCTTGGCTCAGCCAATGAAAGCAGTTTACGATTGATACCTGGAAGATGTCAGCGGCCGCCAATGAGCTCTGGGATGCCACATTGATGGACTGAAGGTGAGTTTAGTTCTGCTTTAACACCACATTATTAAAACATTCAAACAGTTAAAATCATTACACACAAATGTTTTTGGCCTTCCCGCATCTAAAATTACAAATCTCTGTTTTATCAGAGAGCTGTTCCACCCACTGTCACTGAGCAGAAGTGACGTACAGACCAATGTAATGCATTTAATCATCCAGGATGTTCAACGAAAGGGATGTTACTTACTATCAACATGATGTGTCCCTTGGACTGCTGTCTCCTGGATTAGTAGTAATCTTCCTCCTCCAGTTCCCCCACCTCTGCTGATGTAATACTCGCTTCTATGAATAAAATAAAAAAAAAAAAAAAACAAACAAACAAAAGACACAATATTTATGGAGGAGTAGGAGAACCTTTCAATCATCCATCCTCCGTTCATAGATAGTTTTTAATTCATAGAAGTGATAGTATGGCTTCTATGAATGGAAGAGGGGAGTGAAAAGGGCAGGCATAGTCAGACACTCTTGATGAGTGCATATAAACAGGCCCAGACTGGCCATAGGGCACACCAGGCATTTGCCTGGTGGGTCGGGACTGTGTATCCTAGGAAGAGCGGCCTGTGGATGACTGGGCCGCACAGCGGGAGGTAAGTGGCGACCACAGTCTGGACAGGGTTAACACAGAACACGGACACCGCTCACATGCCACTATGTGGCCATGCCTAGAGTAGGGCTGGTGCAGAAGAGGACCTGCTAGCAAAAAGGGACATACCTCCCAGGTCGGCCACTGGAAATACACTGCACTGACCATGGCAGGATATCACTTAACCAGAGGAGTGCAGTGCAGCCACACATCCCGCTCTGTAGCAGTGGTGTGTGTGTGTGGGAGGTGGATTTGGCTGTATCTTTGCTGGATTGGGCCATCTTCTTGCTATATGGAGCTGTCTCTTTGCTGGATGGAGCTGTCTTTTAGATCAACGGGGCTGTCTCCTTGGTATATGGGGATTTCTCTTTGCTATGTCTCTCTGCTGGATTGGGCTCTTTGCTATATGGGGCTCCCTCTTTGGTGGATGGGGCTCTTTGTTGGATTGGGATGTCTCCTTGCTCTATGGGGATGTCTCGTTGCTGAATTGGGCTGTCTCTGCTATATGGGGATGTCTCTTTGCTGGACCGGAATGTCTCTTTGCTGGATTAGGATGTTCCTTTGCTGTATATATGAGGATGTCTCTTTGCCAAAGGTAGGACTGTGCAGGGGAGGCAGAGAGTAAAAGGGGGCACTCTAATTAGAGAGAAAAGGGGGGCATAACAGCAAGGGGCACTGTGATGGGGGGGCTGTGATTCTGTGATTGCTAGGGGCACTGTAATGTAAGGAGGATTGCACTGTAAAGGGGCATTGTAAGCAAAACAGTGCCCCTTTACAGTGCAGTCTTCTCTTATATCACAGTGCCCGTTTACATCACATTGCAAAGTACCCAGACTCCAAGAGCATCCAACCGCCTCCACGAACGCTCACTCGCCATCCCATTTTATCCCCCCCGGTCCTTTGGCTGCTCAGTTTAAAATACCCAGGCCTATTTTGTGAGAGGTTGTTCTGACCACCACCACACTTGTAGACTACAGATTTCTACTAAACCAGGAGATAGCAGCACAAGGGACACATCATGCTGATAGTATGTAACATCCCTTGTGATTATTATTTTGAAACCTTAGGCTGCAAAAAAAAAAAAAAAAAAGAGCTGTGATGAGAAGAGGCTGCCTTGCTGATAGCCTTATAAAAAGCTAAAATGTCATTGTACAAAGTGCACATTTGCTAAATCAAACTCTTAGAACAAATGGGGTCTGAACTCTGCTCTGCAAACTTGTTCCTGGTCAATGACTCAGGAATTTTATAAAATATTCATAGCACAGAAACCAGGGTGTATGTTAATGAAATCTTGTATAGACTAGTATTATACAATATATTCGGAAATTTTTTAACATGGAGGTGAAACTGCAAAATGTGAGAAACTCTTTCAAATACGTTGTACATTTTCTAAACATGGAAGTACTAGTAACATTTACCTCCTGCAGTTTCCCAAGGGAAAATGCGATTGAGAGCACTGTGCAAATCATTTTCCACTGGTCAGCCTTTGGGGGGACTTGTTAAAAATGAATTCAGTTTGCCATTAGGGCCAAAATTCTGCATTGAAGAAACAGTCACCTTAAACAAGATGTGTATTTTCTCGAAAGTCTTGTACTGCTGAGATACCTTATCTACCTGAAAATTGCTATGGGGCAGGTTCACCTAGTTTTCATTAATATCACGGTTGATAACATTTTCAAGAAAAGTTTTCAGATCAAATCTTTTGAACATAAAACTTATTTCTGCCATCTGCCATCACATCACGCATTAAAAAATAAACTTAGAACAAAAATCGTATATGTACAGTGAGGAACAGAAGTATTTGAACACCCTGCGATTTTGCAAGTTCTCCCACTTAGAAATCATGGAGGGGGTCTGAAATTCACATTGTAGGTGCATTCCCACTCAGACAGAATTAAAAAAAAAAAAAAAAATTCAGGAAATCACATTGTATGCTTTTTAAAGAATTTATTTGTCTTGCACTGCTGAACATAAGTATTTGAACACCTGAGAAAATCAGTGTTAATATTTGGTACAGAAGCCTTTGTTTGCAATTACAGAGGTCAAACGTTTCCTGTAGTTCTTGACCAGGTTTGCACACACTGCAACAGGGATTTTGGCCTACTCCTCCACACAGATCTCCTCTAGATCTGTCAGGTTTCGGGGCTGTCGTTGAGCAACACGGAGTTTCAGCTCCCTATAAAGATGTTCTATTGGATTTAGGTCTGGAGACTGGCTAGGCCACTCCAGAACCTTGATATGCTGAGTGGGAATGCACCTACAATGTGAATTTCAGACCCCTCCATGATTTCTAAGTGGGAGAACTTGCAAAATTGCAGGGTGTTTAAATACTTCTGTTCCTCAATGTATTTTTTTTTTATCACATATAAAAACATGAGCATTATTACCTTTTTAACTCGTGAGCTGACAAGGAAATAGACCCAAGTCCATTTAGTGGAAAATTAACTTAATGTATTATGGCCAGAGCTGGTGATTCCACTAGGCAACTGCCTGGGGTGCACTGACACCTTTAGAGTCCCCCAATCCTCATACACAGGGAATGACTCTGCACAATCTCCTCACAGTCTGCCCACACAAATGACCATTTAGTAATTATACACACACACACACACACTATATTGCCAAAAGTATTGGGACGCCTGCCTTTACACATACATGAACTTTAATGGCATCCCAGTCTTAGGGTTCAGTATTGAGTTGGCTCACTCTTTGCAGCTATAACAGCTTCAACTCTTCTGGGAAGGCTGTCCACAAGGTTTAGAAGTGTATCTATGGGAGGGTTTGACCATTGTTCCAGAAGTGCATTTGTGAGGTCAGGCACTGATGTCGGACGAGAAGGCCTGGCTTACAGTCTCCGCTCTCATTCATCCCAAAGGTGTTCTATCGGGTTGAGGTCAGGACTCTATGCAGTCCAGTCAAGTTCCTCCACCCCAAACTTGCTCACCCATGTCTTTATGGACCTTGTTTTGTGCACTGGTGCACAGTCATGTTGGAACAGGAAGGGACCATCCCCAAACTGTTCCCACAAAGTTGGGAGCATGAAATTGTCCAAAATGTCTTAATATGCTGACTCCTTAAGAGTTCCCTTCACCAGAACCAAGGGGCCAAGCCCAACATTTGAAAAACAATTCCACACCATAATCCCCCACTTGGCTCAATGCAATCAGGCAAGTACAGTTCTCCTGGCAACCGCCAAACCCAGACACGTTCATCAGATTGCCAGACAGAAGCGCGATTCATCACTCCAGAGAACACGTCTCTACTGCTCTAGAGTCCGGTGGCAGCGTGCTTTACACCACTGCATCTGACACTTTGCATTGCACTTGGTGATGTAAGGCTTGCATGCTGCTGCTCGCCATGGAAACCCATTCCATGAACTTCTCTACACACTGTTGTAGTGCTAAGCTAAAGGCCACACAGTTTGGAGGTCTTTAGCTACTGACTCTGCAGACAGTTGGTGACTTCTGCACACTGTGCGCTTCAACATGTGCTGACCTCGCTCTGTCATTTTATTATGCAGGATTTATATAGCGCCAAGAGTTTGCGCAGCGCTTTACATATTACAGTTACAGTACAATTTGGTACAAGAGGAAACAGAGGACCCTGCTCATTAGAGCTTACAATCTAGGAAGAAGGGTTGAGTGATACAAAAAGGTAATAGCTATGGGAAGATGAGCTGATGGAGGAAATAAATGTCAGTTTACTAGTTAGAAGCAGGATAGGCTTCTTTAAAGAGAAAGGTTTTCAGGAATCGTCTAAAGGTTGATAGATTAGGAGATAGCTGGACAAATTGGGGTAGGGAGCTCCATAGGATGGGAGAAGCTCGTGAGAAGCTCAGGAGTAGTCCTGGAGGTGAGCATGGGAGGAGGTGACACGAGAACTAGAGAGCAGAAGGTCTTGGGAGGATCGAAGAGAGCGGTTTGGTTGATATTTTGAGATCAGGTTGGTGATGTAGCTGGGGGCAGAGTTGTAGATGGCTTTGTAAATTGTTAATATTTAGAATTTTATTAGTTGGGTAAGTGGAAGCCAGTGGAGGGAATGGCAGAGAGGGGTAGCAGACACTGAACGGTTGGTAAGGTGGATGAGCCTGGAAGCAGTATTCATGATGAACTGGAGGGGGGATAGACTATGTAAAAGGTAAACCAATGAGGAGGGAGTTGCAGTAGTCAAGGTGAGAGAGAACCAGGGAGTGAATTAGGAGCTTTGTGGTATCATTGGTTTAAAAGGGGCTTATTCTGGAGATGTTGCGGAGATTGACGTGGCATGATTTGGACAGGGATTGGATGTGGGCCTGAAAGGATAGTTCAGAATCCAGGGTTACCCCTAGCACTCTGGCGAGCTGAGGAGTAGAGTGATAGATTTGTGTGTCATCAGCATAGAAATGGTATTGGAAACCATGGGAAGCTATCAGCTGACCCAAGGAAGAAGTGTAGATTGAGAATAGGAGAGGTCCAAGGAGAGAACCTTGGGAGTAGGAGAGGAAGAAGTAGAGTTGTAAGTGACACTGAAGGTGTGGCGAGATAGGTAAGATTCGAACCAACAGAGTGTACAGTCACAGAGACCAAGTAAATAGAGTTTATTGAGGAGGAGGGGGTGGTCAACTTGTCAAAGGCAGCGGAGAGGTCCAAGAGTAAGAGTACGGAATAGTGACCATAGGTTTTAGTGGTTAGTAAGTTGTTTGTGAGTTTTAGGAGAGCAATTTCTGTGGAGTGTTGTGGGCAAAATCCAGACTGAAGGGGCTCAAGAAGGTTATTCTCAATAAGGTGGCAGCTCAGCGACTGTAGACCAGATGTTCAAGAAGTTTGGAAGCAAAAGTAAGTAAGGAAATGGGTGTTAGGTTGCTAAGATTGGTGGGGTCCAGTGAGTCCTTTTTAAGCATGGGGGTGACTAGCGCATGTTTTAGAGAATTGGGGAAGATGCCAGTAGAAAGGGATAGATTGAAGAGTTAAGAGTTAAAGAATGAAGGATAGAACCAGAGGGTGACCGCAGTATTTGCAAGGGAACAGGGTCCAGGGGACAGGTGGTTAGGTGGGCTTTAGAAAAAAAAGTTTACTAACCTCCTCTATAGTACCTGGGTTAAACAAGGGAAGTATAGATTGTGCAGGTGGACAAGGAGTGTAGGGTGAGGGAGATATCTGTACAGTGGAGATCTCATCACAAATTGTATCAATCTTATTTTTGACCTGATTAGCGATCTCCTGGGCAGTGAGTGAGTTAGTGGGTGGAGGTAAGGAAGGACGAAGTAGAGAGTTAAGGTAGAAAAGAGTTGATGGGGATTGCGTGAGTGGGTGTTAATGAGAGTGATAAAATAGGTCTGTTTGGCAGTGTGGAGACAAGAATTGTATTTTTGAAGGGCAGATTTATATTGGTTGAAGTCTCTGGGTCTTAGCTTTATGCCATAAATGCTCAAGTGCATGGCTGCATTTGAGGCATCTGGTGTTGTCTATTTGCCAGGGTTGTAGCGGTTGGTGCCTAATTCTGTATGTAGTGAGGGGGGCCAATGTGTCCAGGGTTGATGACAGTGAACTGTTGACAGAAGTGGCCAGGTTGGGGCAGGACAAGGCTGAGATTTTGTCAGAGACAATCTGTTGCTGGAAAAAAAGAGAAGGGTTAAGATAGCAAAGGTTTATTTGGGTAACTGTTTGGAAGTTGGAAGAAAAGGAGGAGGAAGCCAGGGAGAGAGTGAAGGTAGTAAGGGAGTGATCAGAGAGGAAAAGGAAAGTTGGTGAGGTTGCAAGGAGTGCATAGGTAGGAGAATACAAGGTCAGGGCAGTTACCATTAAAAGCATGTGTCCATTGTTTTAGGTCAAAAGAAGTGGCTCAGAAGTTTAGAGGTAGCAGAAGTGTTAAGATTAACAGGGATGTTGAAGTCACTAAGAATGATTGTGGGAAAGTCAGAAGAGAGAAAGTAAGGCAGCCAGGCAGAGAAGTTATCAAGGAAGCTTGATACCAGTCCAGGAGGCCGATAGATCACAGCAATTCTTAAAGAAACTGGAGAGAATAGACGAATAGAGTGAACTTCAAATGAGGATAGGGACAGAGAGGGAGGTGAATGAAGGACCTGAAAAGTGCTTTGAGGGGATAGGATTCCAACTCCACCTCCTTTCCGTCCACTAGGCCTGAGAGAGTGAGTCCAGAGGAGACCACCATGGGAGAGGGTAGCAGGAGAGGGAAAGTAAGATTCATGAAGCCATCTGACTTTCCCTCTCCTGCGTAATTGCAAGCGAGTTAAAGGAGTTTGTGATAAAAAGGTCATTGACATAGGTGAGTTTGTTACAGATAGAGCGAGCATTCCAGAGGGCACAGAAAAAGGGGAGGTTGGTTCTAGGAAGAAGAGGAATAGTAACTAGATTGTGTGGATTGTGGCTGCTGTTAGAGGATAGGGGGTGTCAGGTGTGCTGGTCAAAGGAAAAAAGATGGTGGCCCAGGATTTGGGGAAATGTCTCCAGATGTTAGGAGAAGCAGAAGTGTGAGAGGTAATATGGGAGTATGACTTATATGGAGGGACAGGTTCCAATGTCCTGTAGGTTTTATTATGTGGCCTGTTCCCAGTTGCTTCCACTTTGTTATAATACCACTAACAGTTGACCGTGGAATATTTAGTAGCAAGGAAATTTCACAGATGGACTTGTTGCACAGGTGGTGACCTATCACGGTACCATGCTTAAATTCACTGAGCTCCTGAGAGTGACCCATTCTTTCAAAAATGTTTGTAAAAGCAGTCTGCATGCCTAGGTGCTTGATTTTATACACCTGTGGCCATGGAGGTGATTGGAACACCTGCATCCAATGATTTGGAGGGGGTGTCCCAATACTTTTGGCAATATAGTGTATATACATGACAGTATTCCATGTACCAGTGAAGTGTTAGCTCCCCCTAGGATGGAAAGTAATGACATTAGCTCAGGACCCCGGGCAGTCAGCAGTGCCTGATCGGAGGATTGATCTGTACATCTCTGGTACACACAATATTCCAGCTGTAGCAGAGAACTGGCTAGTAACTGAATGGGGTGTGTCCAGTGCTGGATGCGCATTCTTCTACAGAGCAGGGGCCAATCAATAGACACGAGTGTGCTCTGGTTGCAGGGTTAACCCTATGTGAGTAGGATGATCGGGGCCTGATGTCCCTCAAGGCTCCGTCCTCGGGCCCCTTCTCTTCTCCATCTACACCTCCTCCCTTGGCCAACTCATACACTCTCACGGCTTCAACTACCACCTATATGCCTACGACACACAAATCTCTCTCTCAACCCCCCACCTCAGTCTCTGCCCAAATCACACACCTACTGAGCGACATATCTGGATGTCGCTCCACTTCCTTAAACTGAACCTCTCCAAGACCGAGTTTCTTGTCTTCCCCCAAGCCCAGACACCACCCCCCATTGACTTCTCCATCATGTCCAACAACGCCACCATCAAACTCGCCCCGCAGGCCAGAGTACTTGGTGTCATTCTGGACTCCAACCTATCCTTCCAGCCCCAAGTCCAATCTTTAACAAACTCGTGCAGACTCCACCTCCGCAACATCGCCAAAATACGCACGTTCCTAACCACAGAAACCACTAAACAGCTCATCCACTCCCTCATCATATCACGACTCGATTACTGCAACTCCCTCCTCACTGGCCTGCCTCGCCGCTGGCTATACCCGCTTCAGTCGATCCTGAATACGGCAGCTAGACTCATTCACCTTTCCAACCGCTCCATCTCCGCCACCCCCCTCTGCCAATCCCTCCACTGGCTTCTGATGGATCAAATTCAAAATCCTAACACTGACATACAAAGCCGTCCACCACACTGCCCCGAACTACATCACTGACCTAATATCCAAGTACCACCCAGCACGCACACTCCGCTCCTCACAAGACCTCCTTCTCTCTAGTTCCCTGGTCTCCTCCTCCCATGCCCGCCTCCAGGACTTCTCCAGGGTGTCACCCATCCTTTGGAACTCCCTGCCCCAACCCATCAGATTATCACCTACTCTCCTCTCCTTTAAGCGCACCCTGAAAACCCATCTCTTCAGGGAAACCTACCCCACCCCCTGCTAACTTGCCGACCTCCTCCACTCTTCCTACCACTCCATCCCCCACAGCTATCTCCTCCTGTGCCACCATCCCCTCCCTCCTAGATTGTAAGCTCGAAAGAGCAGGGCCCTTGATCCCCTCATGTTTTGCATTGTATTGTTATTGTTCTGTCACATGTTCTGTCCCCCTTTGTAATGTACAGCGCTGAGCGTACTATTGGCGCTTTATAAATACTGTATAATAATAATAATAATAATAATATGTATAAGGGGAAACTGTATAATAATAATAAGTATAAGGGGAAACTGTAGTGCTGGGAGGCCCCCTTTCCTCACTGAGAGGAGCAGCCTGGACTCCGCACCCTGGCAGCAGGATCCATCAGAGGAAAGCTGAGCCTAGGAGGATGGTGGGTCATGGAGGTAACAGAAGGGGGGGTAAGAATGGTCAGGGTGAGGGGAGCGGATGCTGATTGATCATGTGGGACCCCCGCAACATCATTAATGATCCTTCAGCTGAGGAGAGGGGCGACAGAGGAGGAGGAAGAAAGGACAGTGGAAGATGTCAGGTGTCTGAGGCTAGTGTAGCAGTTGAGGTGCCACTCCTTCCAGTGTTCCTCTTAGACTCAGTCCCTTACTGCAAGTTGGCTGGCTGCTGCTGTTCACTGTGGATTTTTTTTAACTTCCTTTTTTTGTTTCTGTCTGATTAGTTAATACAGTTAATTTATATTTGGTTAATATCTATTTTGTCTTTAATATTGGTGCTGGTGGCATCTTATGGCACTTATTTTTGCAAATTAAAAGAAAATTTAGCAGTTTTGTGTTTTGTTGACTTAATATTTTCTACTGTTTTTAAAATGTTTTATTTTTATTTTTTTTTGGGGGGGGGGGGGGGGGCGGCGAGTAGCTGGTCTTGCCTAGGGAGTAAAATAGTCTAGCATGTGCCCTGACTATAGCCCAGGTCTACTGCAGAGCTTCCTCTTCTACAGGCAATTCCAGGAGTCTTTGTAGGGCAGCTTATCCGAATAGACAGTCCTACACCTTAAATGAATAAATAAATAGTGTTGCGCTACTCATTAAACCTGACTATAAAGCAAAAAGTAAATGCCTGACAGAGCCCCTAACTAAGGTGATATAGGTGCATACCTAGAAAATTACCAAACACAAGTGAATGAAAATATCCAAAAAGACTAGATGCCCTGCTAGGCAAGACCAAATATAAACAAGTAAGTGAAACTTCAACATATGTGCAGATAGATATGCTGAGTAATATATATACAAAGCACACAAAATAAAAAATTAAATATTAAACTAGAAAAGCTACAATTTCTAGGGAAATTGTGTGAAGTGTTCTTGCCTCCACCAGTAGTCTACAACTGGAGTGGGCGGACTAACTCGGTGGAGTGGCTTGAGATGGGTGGCGTGAGTTGCAAACAAATGGTCATATTGTGAAAACTATCAGGACTATGGCTTAGCCATGGACATTTTTAGTGGCAGCAGGGATAGCTGAACGTTTTGATATAAGATTTGTGTAGGTGGACTTGAAAATGAGGGAGTGATGGCAGTTTAGAAATCATGTCCTGATTTTTCAGCTCCCACTCTAGTTTTGAACATTCATTCCTATGGGACCAATTTCACCACAAAAAACGCCAATATTTCGTGAACCATTCGCCGAAACGTTCCACAAAGTAACAGCACACCAATCGGGAACAATCCGCACGTTTGCGCGTTTCGGTATATTACTGTCTATGTAGTGTAAAAACTGTGGGAGGAGTTAGGGTGGTAAATTTGGCTATAATAAGAATATATATGTGAGATAACAGTAACTGGTCTTGCCATGCAAGAACACTTAATAATAAACACCCCTTTGAGCCCTCAACCCAGTGACAGCCTGTGAATAAATGTCTGTAAATGTACTAAAAATCAAGATCTGTAATGCAAAAAAAAAAAAAAAAAACCCTTCAAATCAGCATATATTCCACACGTGACTTGAAAAGTGATCACTCTTAAAAATCCTCCACCAGCTAGCATGCACACTCACCTCCCATTTTAACCTATAGGGAATATAGGTCAAATGAGCTTTAATATCCAACCAGCTCACCTCTGTAAGCGTACTTTCTTGGCTCCTTCTCCAATTCCTCATCAGAAATCCATGTTCAAAAAACATCAAAGAACATCTCATAGTGCAATACGTCCATGTTTAATGTATAAAAACCAGGTATATAATACTCAACTTTGAAAATCAGGCCAGCAGACCCATATAAGCACTGGTAATAAAATACATGGGAACAGGTGTACCAAGATGGCAGCTGCCGTCCGACCAAAAATTATGTCCGGAAAGGACATCAAAACTTTTTGAAGAACCCTCATACTTCCTCTTTTCCTCTTCGTTTCTCCATTGGGGTCCCCCAAAGTTCTGCTCTTGGATCTCTCTTATTCTCGATCTACATTTCTTCCCTAGGTCAGCTGATCGCCTCCCATGGCTTTAAATATCATTTCTATGCTGTGCAGCGCTATACAAATAAAACACACTATCTAAAGTATGGCAAAATATGACAGAAATGGAAAAGTCCTATAAACTGAATGTTAAACAGTCCAAGGTGGTAAAATATCAGTCCAAAAGGTATACTCCAGTGATGGAGTATAAATAACTTCAATCCAAATGGGTATATTCCAGCATCCTAACATGAAGGTGTAGAAAAATTGCCCACTCACCGGAAGTGCAATTTAATGTGCACATAGAAATTCCATGAAGCCGGAGGTCCCATGAAGGAATAGCTTGATGATAAAGGTGCCCTCTGGTGGTAGATGGGGTGACGGCTGCCAGAGAAGTTGATCTGGACCAATATCCCAAATTGTCCTGCCTGGGTGGACTCCTAGAATGCTGGGCTGAGATGTGGAGGCTCAGTGCCAGGTGATAGAGATGAAAACGCTCATGGTGTAGTATTATAAAAAGTATTTAATGAGTATATATCATTATGATAAAACAGTAAAACGTACAGGGTTAGAGTACCAGTATAGGTATAGTGTAAACGAGCTCTTTAAATGCACTGACCAGTGAATACAAATGATGGCCACCGGACCTCCTGATCCGGTGGCGTAACGTCAAGGCGTGCAGAGGCTCCTCCTAGACGCGCTTCGTGTAATAACACGTCTCCTGTAGGGGTGATGCCATGCATGCCTGACGTCTCCTTACTGCTATTTTATAAGCTAAAATTGCGCCAAAAAGTGTCCTGGCGCCGTTCTGCCGTTTTTTTTTTCGGCCTATTGCGCATGCGCGGGGCGCCATTTTGCCGGCTATTTGGCCTCATGCGCATGCGCGGGCGCCATGTTATCGGTGATATTGAAAACGTCTAAAAATGGTCGGCGCGCGGTACACTGCGCATGCGCGAGAGTTCCGGCGGCC